CCTGACTAAAACACAATGAAACCACCGTCTTCTACTAAAATACAAAAAATTAGCCGGGGCATGGTGGCCGGCACTGTAGCCCCAGCTACTCGGCGGGAGACTGAGGGCAGAGAGAATGGGCAGTGAACCTGGGAGCGTGGAGCTTGCAGTGAGCCTGAGATGTCGCGCACTGCACTTGCCCAGCCTGGGCAACAGAGAGAGTCTCGACTCAAAAAAAAAAAAAAATGGCCACCTTCGAGTTCAAGGAAGCAATGGAGTGAATAAGCGCGCACGCTGAAAAGAGTGATTTTTTTTGAGATCGAGTACTGGCTAGATAAATTGTGCCAGCCAAAGTTCAGTGACATCTCCCTCCCTACTCCCAGATCCACTTGGTTTATTTCACACATTTCCCTCCATGCCTTTCATTCCCAGGATTTGTGGGGGGGCAACACATGATATTGCACATTTCAGAGCTTCTTCCCCTCCTCCCAGAAAAGTGCATGTTTCCTTCACATGAATTCTACCTGGAGGAGTCTGTGGCAGCCTTTGGAATGGAGGCGCTTTGCTGGTTCCTGAAGATCGTTTCCAAGTGACAGTATTTCAATTATATACTTGTTCTACAAAAATGGAATCATTTGGGAACAGAAATCCAAAAACACTCTGCAAATACCAACAGTTCCACAGTCAGGGGCCAGTTATCTCATTATGTCTTACCGCATCTCTTCCAGCAGGGCAAAGGGGGGAAATGGTCATTTTTAGTAACTGGTGCCAGCTCTGATTTTAGGAAGGAATGAAAGGAGGAGTACGGAAGCCCCATCTGAAATGGGGTCTTCAAGTTCCCGCTGCCTTTCATCTGTTCTTGCCGTTCAGGCCCTCATCACCCCAGACACACATCTGAAGAGTTTCTGAGAAGTGCTGGAATTTTGTTAGCAAAACAGAAATTATTCTTCTACCCCTTCCCACGAATCAGGAAGGACTTAAAAAACGTGGATTAAAAACATTCCTTTGATTTTATTCACTGCATTAATTATTCGTTTACCCTCCGCTTGCTAAAAGGCAGCACATTCCCAACAGAAGAAATGAGCTTTCCATTTGAAGATCAAGAAAGGCAGCCTCTGTGTTTTTTCTCTGTACTGTACATTCATCCACTTAGTGACCATCTACTGGGCACCTGCCTGGTTCCAGTCACTAGCTCCTGCAAGGCGGTGGTGAGCAAGACAATCTCCCTCGTCCACTAAAATGATGAAACCACAAAGCTGCTCAAGCACCTCGCGCCTGGGTGCCACTCTATGAACCTGCTCCCTTTGCCCCACTACGCTTCATTTTCCTTCCGTGTGAAATGAGGTCACAGCGCCCACCCTGTGAGGACTCAACACTGTTAGCAAAGTACCTGGCACAGTGCCTGGCACACATGAACACATGTGTGGACATGGACGCATCATTGCAGTCATTTATAAGCCACACTGAAAATAAACATCAAGCTAAGCCTTCTCCATGTTATGTCGCTTTAGGAGGCATCTGTCACTTACAAGTGACAGATTGTAAGTGACAGTCTGTACACTTTTTTTGTACAAAAGATAAGTTTAAAATGAAATCACTGGGTCGGGTGCTTCAATACAGGGTGGCTTACACCTGTAACCCCAGCACTTTGGGAGGCTGAGGCGGGGCAATCACCTGAGGTCGGGAGTTTGAGACCAGCCTGACCAACTTGGAGAAACCCCATCTGTACTAAAAATACAAAA